TTTTTTTTTTTTTTTTTTTAAAGTGCGAAGCCTCTACTTTGACCGTTTTCCTTCAAAAAATTATTTCACATCGTTTGCTAGTCGATTCCTCCGAAATTCAAACCAAACGAAACATGTGAAAGATTATTTGTTCAAACGTGAACAATTATCCTCATATTTCCATCCAAGATCTAAATTTCCATTACCCAATATTTACAATGAGTAATCTCGCATGTCTTCGCAGCGATCCTCGTGATACTTGTCGAGGAAACCTTTGCGGGCAAATTGAAGGCGGCTCGCGAGATACGCGAGGAGCATTGTCTAACAACGCTCGGAATTAATATACGCAATGATATACGACTATCATGTAATCGATTGTCTCGCCGCGCAATGATTGCCTCTATTCACTTCTGTTTCACTCGCCGCGCGAACCGACACACAACAGATGATAGAGCTAAATCTGAAGTTATTCTGCTGCTGGCAAATTCAGTGGGAAGATCTCGAATTTTCGCAAGATTTTCGAGAAAAATATCACGACAGGATAATCGATAATCGAGAGTGGAAGAAACCATTCATCACCTAAATTTCAGTTATTCAAATAAAATCTGATTATTTCTTTCTTCAACGTACGATTACTGCTATCTCTTTCCCTTTCTTCGTCTAAATCTAAATTGTTTGTCGTTTTAAAGAAATTCTTTTTCTTCTTTTAACGGGAACTATGGAACACATGATGACTAAAGGAAAATTTCGTTAGCTACTCACTGATCGTGATGGCATCTCGACTGATCAATATTTGTCCGGACTATGGTCCTTCGAATGTTATCGAGCAATGCTTCCGTTTGAACAATTGTACATTTGCAAACACACGTACGCGTGCAGAACAAAGATAACCCGAATGCAATGGAAACGATCTTAGAATGGAGAAAGTTACCCTGACTTTTGACTTTCAATTCTCCGCCTAGGATCACTTGATTTATTAATCAATCACCTGTTGCTTCGTACCGACGATATACTGCTCGTGAGTTGAAGAAAATCTGACTTGTCACAGCTTTTTTTCACCAGCGGATGAAAAAACGTGGCCGCGGGCGTTCACACCGGATCGCTGTGAATCAGCCTGGCGGGAGAATTGCAAGGAACGAACGCGTTGAGAAACGGGTTCAGGTGAGATCATATATGCAGACGGTTGAAAGTGAAACGCGGATTACGCGCGTGCACCGATCATGTGTGTCCGGCGTAGTGTACACACACTACGGATTACTCGTAGTGAGTCACCGAGCTTACTTGACGTCATCAACGTGCTCCGGGGGCAATCAACCGGCAAGCAGCGTAAAAATCTTGCGGATCACGCGTCACGTACCGCACGGTTGCAGCCGTGATTGCGTGGGTGGATGCTGCGAGCTGAATGGGAAGCTGAGTGCGCGTCATTTTGACATTTCCACGCCGCATAAACCACTCTTATCGTGTAGAGAAAAATCGGCATCGAAATCGCGGGACGCGCTTCTTAATCTTAGATATACATTCGTTTCGCATCAGATAGTATTAAATAGGATATTTTATACATTTCCGTGTCAAGCGTATTTCATGTTTTTCTTTTTTTTTCCTTTTTGCATCTTTTAGCTTTCAATGCACGTTTGAAGAGAAATTGTGTACAGTCACAATTAAGCTAGCATTGCTAGCACAGTAATAAACATTGTATTCTTGCACATTCTAATTTGACGATATACAAAAATTTGGAGCTCGATCCGTTTGAAATTTCGGCACTCGTCAATATTGCAATTGATGATAATTGTAAAGTAATGCATGTCAATTGTATTTCTACTAAGAAGGACTATTCCGTTTGCAAAGGTTTAGAATTTCTAGGATCTAGCAGCGTGGAACAGCACGATCGTGACTCGTTAGCAATGGCATCCTCATTTAAATAGCAACAAATGAGCGATCGGGAAAATCGATATCATTGCGAAATTGAGACATTTGCATTTCAACCTGAAGGAAAATTAATGCACTTGGTGCACTTATTTATATGATGAAAAGTTTCGAGTTTATGCTGGGATTTCAAAAGAAATGATCACTTGCAAATTTATTAATATAGATATTTGCAATTATCAATTATACTTTAGTTAGTTTTAATTGCGGTTAGAAATTATTTACAAAAGGAATTATAGAAGTAAAAATGATCCTCCAAACTCTTCTGAACAAGAGTGTATTTACTTTAATTACGATGGATCTGGTTTGATTTCTTCCCTCCCCCTCTTTTTAAACACAAAATTCGCAAACAGCAAACATGATTTATCATCGTGTAAAAATAGACGACATAAGTCGTCGAAATGATAAAAGACTTGAAGGACAATACTTAACAATACTATCTGTATCAACAAAATTCTGACGAAGAATGTTATTTCATCTGTTATTATCACTCTGTCTGTGTTAACTTCTAATCATAGAAACTAATTGTGCAACAATTTCAAGAAGATTCAATCGTTTAGACTGAAACAGATTTATAAAACCTGTAATAAAGACATCGTATATATTTATTGCATAATTATATTTGCCATTTAACAATTACTCGTACAACAACGAGAAGAATCCTTTTTTTTTTTACATTTTAACGTACTCGTGGTAGATTTTGTAATTTTTCATTCCGATTTATTTACATTTCCCAGTAAATTGATATTGCAAACATCAT